AAGAACAGTAAAATTGATGAGTGTGCAGCAAAGGTTTTTTTGGGTCAATATAAATTGGTGATTATTTTATTTTTTTTTATTCTTTTATTATTATTATTATTATTATTATTATTATTATGTCAATGATGCATTACAGACCCCCAAAAAAAAAAGAAAAGAAAAGAAAAAATCTATGATACATTCACTAACCAATTTGTAATGTTGTAGCTGTAGTAATTTCAATTATTTTATGATAAATTAACCAAGGTTCCAAAAGAAATAACACCACCACCACCACCACGACGTTTTGAGTGGACACTGAAACCAACCTTTAAATCTTTAAATTATACTAATAGTTCTTATAATTTGAATTGCATCAAATTTTTTATTTAATTTTTTACATAATATTAATTTAAGTCAACTGATAATATCAATTTAAAAATTAAATAAAAATCAAAGACAAAATGATCTATTCAAATTGGATGTCAACCCCGCAATTCGGGACCTTCTGTTTGCACACCATACATTAGGGAGAGGGGTGGCGGAGGAAGGGAAGAAAGGGAGCTGCGAGTTGGAGGTGGTGTCGATGTTGGAGAAGAGGTGAGGGAAGCTAGAGAAGGAGTGGTGACTTGATAGCAGTGGGTGATGGTAACAGTGGTAGGGTTAGGGTTGGGATTTAAAGATAAGGATATTATGAGAATTAAAGTGGTTTAAATTGAGGGGAAAAAATTTAAAAATCAAAATTATGTATGTCAACCTCATGGTGTACGAATAAAAGCTCCACCTCAATCCACTATTTTGCCTAGGAAAATGCATGGACTATTTTGCTTATGTTCATTATAAATTAGACTAAATTGATACTATAAATTTAAAGATACAATTAAAAAAATTAAAATTATAAATATTAAATTGATACAATAGACAGGCTACGGGAACTATCATTGGTGTCATTTGCTCTTAAAGAAAGTACGTATTAATTAAGTTTTAGGTGTGGTATATACGTATATCCATCTTTACTGAGAGTTCCTAAGAATTGGCAGAGCTAAAGTATAAGGAAATGTAAGTCATTGGGATGCTCTCTCTCTTGACAGCTTTTTGTAAAGTAAAGGGAGGAGGAGTCACAACAAGGAAGATGAGAGAGAAAAATGAAGGAAGAAGAAGGAGCTTTAAAAAGTTGGTTTTATTTGTCTTTCTCCATGGCAGAGGAGAGGAGGGGATCTGCATGTTCACTTTCTCTGTCATCTTTGCCTTATTCACTTGACTCATTCATGCCTCCTGCCCCCTAATGTGAACCTAAGTATTACTTATGTTCACATTAAAGATGTATCATCTGGTTCTAGCCTACTTCTTTGATCTCTCACTTTTACCTTTCTTCCTTGTTTCTAGGGTTTCAGTGTCGTTTTCATAAATTCACTAATAACAGCATCAACAGAAGAGAGTAACAGACAGACAATAAGGATTGGGAAAGTTTTATATGCTTCTATGCTAGGGTTTTGCTTAAAATACTTTAAAACAAAGTTTAGATGCTCTCTATATCCTGCAACTCTATCAAGTCCTTCACAGTTCTCTCTCTGTGTCTGTGTATGTGTGTAAGGCATAAATTGTTCTTCTTGATGATGATAGAGATGTTGCTTATGCTATTAATGTAGTTGATGGTGATAGTAAGCTGCCAGATGCAAACTAGGTACCCTAGCAATCAATATTGAGTCATATTAATTAGAGTAGACAAACTCAACCCAAAATGGTGAGATCATTTAATTAAACTTTATTTAAAATTTGTTCAAATTTATAGACGAATATAAATAGGTTGCATCTTGTAAATTTAATTAAAATTAAATTGGAGATAATACTATTTAAACGGATACTTCCTCTTCCATCGACACCAACATAACTATCTTCCCCACATCACCATCTATCGAAAAAAGAAATTTAATAAAGCAAAATGGGTTGGGAGTTCATTGTTGGATACATTTCTAATATAACCTAATCTACTTAAACCCATATATTAGATAGACGAGTTTGGGTTGGGCTGGGTTGTTTAAATACATAACCTGTTTTGGTTTGTATAAATTCACTTAAATCTTTTGTTTGCCACTTGTAGATTATAGAAATGGCTTTTCTATCAATACTGGTCAAATAAGTATACAATAAAATCATAGAAAGGTAGTAAGAATGTACATATTGGTACATGAACGACATCAGTAAATGAGAATATCTTAATAGACTTGTGACCATAAATGTGTATATTTTAAATACTTTTAATTATTGAATTTTAGAAGAAATTACACCCGGAGGCCTTCTAATTTTCCTTTCGTGTCATTTGGTGCCTATAGTTCTATTGTATCAATTTTACCACTGAAATAATCAAATTATGGCAATTTGGCGTCATTTTAGAAATTGTACTAAATTCAATGTATAAAACAGTCCATTTACTCTCTTTAAAGTGATTAAATGTCATATTTGTTTGGACGGGATAGAAAAGGCGAGATTGTAATGCAACGGACTGATAGTCTTGGGATATATAATCCCTAGACTATTTCGCCGGAAATAATATGTATCCCATATTTATTTTCTCATGAGATATTAAATATATGGAAATGACTATTTTAGTAAATTTCATATTTAATTTGAAAATTATGAAGTATATTGTTTAAATTGTTTACAACAACAATACTTAAATTTGGAGTATAATTTTTTTAATTTAATTTAATGTATATTTAATTTAATTTTTATTTGAAATATATTTTATTTTATTTTTACGAAAACACTTTTAATTTTATTTAAATACTACATTAGAAATATATTTGCATTTATGATTTTGCTAATATAAAAAAAGAAAAAAGGAGAAGACTATTATATATCATGAAATTAATTTACATAGGTTTAAAATAATTGAACATGTTAAAAAAAAAATTAAAAGAAACGAAAGAAATAAATTTTATATATACTTGAGGATTAATTTTGTCATTTAACTAACTAATTCAGAGATTATTAGTCCGACTTTCATTTTTTTAACCAAACATTGGACTGTCCACTTTGTTGAACATAGAGTCTAATCCAATGCCCTTATCCCACGAAACAAACACCCCCAAAGAGTTGACATTCAATTGGAATGGTTAGCTCCTTTTTGAATGAACCCAATTTATTGATATCTAAACATATAGAGAATTTTATAATCACGCTTAAAAATCATTGTTATTCATTGATGGTCTCTTTTTATATTTTTTGGACTCCATTTAGGCTCTTTCTATTCAGCTTCCCAACATAAATAGATAATCCTATAATTACGCTTAAAAAAAATTGTTACGTATTGATTGTCCCTTTTTATCCTTTAAGTACTCGCATTGTTCAGCTTGTTTAAGCCCTTTTTGTTCTGCTTTCTAATAAATATAGGATCCTATATGCTGATCGCCCTTTCTATTCTTAGGCTCGGTTTATTTTCAGAGATAGAATGAAAGAGATTGATAGTGAAGAGATTAATAATGAGAGAATTGTTAGTGAGGGGATTGATAGTGAGAAATTGTTAAATTATTTTTATATAAAATAATAAAACAAATAAAAAAATATAAAAAATTAAACATTATATTTAAAAAAAATTCTCAATATATAAAAAATAAAAAAAATTCTCAATATATAAAAAATAAAAAAAATTCTAATCCCCTCACTATTTTTCTAATACCATCTCTACCTCCTCTTTACCAATCCTCCTTCCAAGGGGACTACTACTACCAAGGGATTAACAGTCCCTTTCTCATCTCTCAAAACAAACACTCCATTAGTAATACCAAGGGATTAGTAATCCCAATCCCCTCCCTATAACTCCAAACAAACGGGGCCTTAAAGTATCCCACATTTGTTGGCCACATTTAAGCTCTTTATGTCCAACTGCCCAACAGATGAGGGACCTTATGATTACGCTCAAAGAGAGTTGCGCCGCATTGATCATCCTTTCTATCATTTTCTTGCCAAGCAAAGAAAAAGACTGATGAACCTGAATTTAGTTTAGTTAAGTCTAAGGCCAACTCTTTGTGTTGAAGTTGGGCTTCGTGTTGATCAACTGATAGTGCCTTTGTAAAGATTGGTCATGGGCCTCAGCAATGCCATTCAAGCCGACTAATGTATATATGTTCTTCAAACAAAAATATCCATAATATATTGTATATAAATTCTTTATTTGAGCTGAGGAATGACATATATTAAGGCTTGATTGGATTGAAATTAGAAGTATTTTGTCTTGTGAGATTCTAAAATCAGACTTATGCATAAGGTGCAAAAGTTAAAGTGCACTGTCTACATGATTTTCTACATCTTTGTGTGTATTATTCATGAATTATTATTTTTTAAATTAATCTGATAATTCTAACCACATGATTTCATTCAATTTGATTTTCAAAACGTCTAATTATTAAAATAAGCTTTCTATTGTTTTTAAAAAAAACAATTATTATCTGACACATGAGTTTACAAAACAACAATGATAGAGACCACTAATTTTGAAGCTCTAAAAAAATCACTAATGACATGACACTCAATAAAAAAAAAAAATACAACACTAAGGCCAAAACATCAAATCATTCATGGTGAGGCTCACTGCCACTTTATTAGTGGTAGCACTAATTAGTGCACTCACTCATTTTCCTTTACAAAATGAACTAATCAAATTATTATAGTGAGACCTGTTATAGTTCCTTTGAGCCCAATTAGACTGGACTGCATTTCTCTTCAACTAGAGAGAATACAGATCCAAAAAAAACCACATGACACAAAAATTACAAAATAACCCCATTCTTCATACAAATTTGGGCTGAAGTACTTGGTAGACAAATCAAGCCCAAAAACTCAGTCCTAATTTTAATAGGTCCGGTCACCCTTTATTTTTATATTTTTATGTTTATATAGAATAATGCTACACTTGACGCATTTTTGTACCAAATTATGCTTACCATATTGTCAACACAATATTTGTTTAATAGATCTTACCATTCAAGATGTAGTGTTGACAACCATATTGACAAATCAGATGGTAGAAATAGATGATTATTGTAGCATTAGTCGTTTATGTAACATGGACGATATAAAACAGAAGGCCAAAATCCTTATTCAAATAAACGACTAATGGAAGACTTTCAAGTTCCAAACCAATAACCTAGTTGTTTCATTTAGATGTAGCCCAACAACTTGATAAACAATGATCAAAAAGTAAATAAACACTGCAAGCATTGGTACAGAAAAACTACCAGGCATAAAAGCTTCCCCTAGCATGGCAGTTAGGTGACAATTTGAAACAGTACATTTATTGATAATCAGGCCCGCTGTGCAGCCCACAAACCTGGTGACAATAAAAAGGAATTAAATCATAATCCATGACAGTGCCTCTTGTTATGTTCTTAATAAAAAGATGAGAAGGGTGAAGAAACTGCCTAGAATAAAGGGCAAGTCAACCCACTCAGAAGATGAAACATCAAGGTATATGGGAGAACTAAAATTCACATCTACACCCAAATGCTGAATTCCTATACTACAACATCAAGGGAAGAGTAGAGATAATATGACATTTTACCACCTACAATAAAGCTCATTTTTCTTATTTACTTACAAGCATTGGGAAGGGCACTTATACCGTAAACAAACTCCGAATTAAAGTGAACCAGAAGAAAATTCTGTAGAGAAATGCACAGAAAAAATGTTTCATATTCTTGCAGTAAATGGTGGATGGGGAAAAAATTAAAGGTAGAAATATATCAAATTTACTCAATGAATGTACAAACAAACAAAGAACCACAAGTTCGGAGAGTAAAGTTTCCTCCAAAATGTCTAAGTGTCTCAATTCCTTCTTTTTTCTAACAAATTTAATAGTCCACCCATTAAATAAATCTAAAAATGTAGACAAAACCAATTATAAGTATCCCGAATGAAGTGAAGCAAGAGTACTGCTTGATGCTAACATCTTTATTTTGTAAATCCAAATCCACATCCAGCCCCATCCAGCCCATCAAACAAGTGAGTGAAATGCAAACTAATGTACGGGTTGACTATGTAAGCTAAACTGCTTAAAACCTCTATTGGTAGTAATTTCAAACTTTTAGTGATAAAATAATTATTTTTTCCCCCAACTTGAACATTGATTTGACCGTCTAACAGCAACTATAGATGTTTATATTTATCCTTGTTCTGTTTTTTTTGAGAAAATTTTTTCTTATGTTTTGTTTACATGATTCAAATCCATCACCCATAACAGCAAATAAGAGTCAAGACGTGCACACGACACCCACTTTCAAGTTGCATATTCCTTTATTCATTGAATCATAACAGCAAAACATGAGGCACAGATCATAGTAGCTTCCAATCTCCAATTCTTGTTCCTTTCGGAGAAGAGATCCTAATGAGCATGTGCATACATCAAGACAACAAGAAGGACAAAACTGAATGCAGAAGTTACGCAATCCTAAAGATCAATATGATGGTAAACCGCCAATGCAAACCAAAACTGCAAATTCTATACTATCCCAATAGTCATTGAAACCCCTTTCCATCACATGATAAACCAATGGACATTGAACAATATGATCAAACACATCCTTGCTCCATCTCCAAAAACCAAGCCCCATGATTTACACAATTTCTCAGAGCTCACTAATTTTGGATGACCAGTTTCCACACACGCGGCCCCAATATAAATAGAATCACCAGAAACCAATTATTTACAATCCAATTCAATTTCAATGAAACTCCACACCACACAAAATTCCTAATTCCAAACGAATACTGATGCATTTCTAAAATCACTACCTCAAACTAATACAAGAGATCCACTACTTCAAAACTGTATCAGTCTTGTCTTAAAGCGAAACCTAATTCCAGTGATTTCCGAAACAACATTAACCCGTTTGGATCATGAGAAAAGAAAAGAAAAGAAAATAAATTATTGTAGTTTGTCACCTTCTTGTTTGGATGGACAATGACTACAAGAAGATACATATGTCTTTTCATTTTATATGTTTTTTTATTGTATTTAGAGAGGTAGTTTAGGTATTATAAATTTTGGTAAAGAACAATTTTGGTTTCTGACCAAATCTCATCACTTTTGGTGAGAAACAAAACTAAAGTTGGGTGTGATTTGTCTTTCTCACAATTTATCTTCCTTTCTCACCATCACTCACCTCATTAATCATCCAAACAAGTGATGAGAAATCTCATTCTCTCCATTTCTTTTCTTTTCTTTTCTTTTCTTTTCTTTTCTTTTCTCACAAAACCCCTCAATCCAAACAGAGCATCAATTCTATGTAAAAACCCTACAATTATGAGAACAAGCTTGAGGGGATGATAATCCAGAAACATCAAAAATACCCCAAAGCCAATAACGAGAAAAATCTCTATGCAATTCATTATATAAAATTATTTACTATCAAACCCAATTATTTACGGTCCACTACAAAATTATTCAGTTTCAATGAAACTCCACAGAAAATTCCTAATTCCAAATGAATAACTGCGCATTTCTAAAATCCCTGCCTCAAACTAAATAATACAAGAAATACAATGCTTCATAACTGTATCAGCCAAACCTAATTCCAGTGATTACAAAAACAACACTAAAATAGAGCATCAATTCTTTCTATGTAACAACCCTACAATTATTATGACAAGAAGCTGGAGGGGAAGTGAATGCAGAAACATAAATTAAAGAGAAAAAAATAATAATAAAAACCCTAAAGCCAATAAATAGAAAAATATCTACACAATTTATTTATTACATAATTTGAACAGATAAACAATTCATCATCATCAAACAAACCCTAACTTCAAACAATTTTATGGAAAAATCAAATGACTAACCTCATTTCTGGTAACCTCCGCCAATGGCATCCAAATCCTCCTCAATCGTAGAAGTCAAATAAGGCCTGGGAAAGTCATTGACATCGAAAGTGGTCTCCTTCATCATCTTCTCGATATCAGATTTCTTCAAGACTGTTCGTCGAACAGGAGGGCGGTTTCGGCGCTGATCGCGAGAGAAGTACTTGATGTCGTACACGGTTTCCGGATCGGAGCTTGGGATAATTGCCTTCACGGGGACGGTGGCGGGGCAGAAGACGCGGTACTCGGTGGCTTTGGGGACGGCGTCCTTGTACTCTGGGTGAGCGCAGGGTCCGGTGATCTCCCATGGCTTCTTTATGTAACGTCTTAGGGTTTGCATCAGGGATTTCGCGGCTGATGCCATCGGCGGTGGAGATAGGGAGAGTGGGTGTTTGGTTTCAGAGAAAGTTGGAAAGAAAATACTTACATGTGAGATTGGGATAGGGATTTATTTGTCGATTTTGGTGTTGTTTTGAGTGGCGTTAATTAAGTTTGGGCTGGACCCGGGCTGACTATCTAACCCAACCCGATTGACAGTTCCATTCCATGTAATAATTTCCCAGAAATTATTTATTTATTTATTTTATAGATATACAAATGCTATTTATTTTTTTGGTGTTTATTTTTTACTTTTCGAAATTTTCTTGGTTACAAATGCTATTTATTTTTTCGTGTTTTTACCAATTTTTTCAAATTGAACATTGATAATTAAAAATATTATTGTGTTTAAGGTTGTTTGCTTTTTTCATTAATGAACTTTTTTTTTAAAAAAAAATTAGGCTTATAGATTTTTTTTCCCACAAGATGAACCAAATTTTTTTTTATAAATAATTTTAAAATCTTCAAAAAAGACAAAAATAAACAAAAATGAACTTTTTGACTTATATTTTGGTATTTTAAATTTATTTTGGAATTTTTCACAAGAAAAAAAAAGAAAAAAGATTCACCTATACAAGATACTACAGAAGAGTAAAAAATTTTGACATAATTTTGACATAAAAGATTCCCCTAATTTTTTTAGCTTATTTAAATTATTTTCACCTAATAAATTATAATAAAAAAATTACACCAATCACTCTAACTGAGATTTTTTTTTTTTAAAAAAAAAAAAACTCTAGTATTCCTTATATGCTGCACCAAACACCACAAAACTCTATAAATATATTACCAAGAGCTATTAGGCGAAAATACAAAACCTCTTACCCCATCAACTGACAAGCAAACAATAAATCCATATAAATTAAAAAAGATTTAAAACTGTGTTTGCATCCAAATTTGGTGAAGAATTTGAAAAAGGAAAAAAGGATGGAAAAAAAAAAGGATAATTTGCAACAAAAATGCTGCTCTCAGGTCAAAGTGGGAGTGTGCAACAATTGTTCTGCAGTGATCCTCTGTCAACTATGTCTTGCTGACAATTTGTCATGCAGTAACACCAGTCCATCTATGTGTAAGAAAGGATATACATGTTCCGTATAATCTAGACGATTAGCAATTCTTTTAATTCTCTTCTAGTCATGTTTCCGGCTCACATTGCAGGAACGGATGGATGCACTGAAGCTACAAGCCCTACCATCGTCCAATCTCTGCCTGAACATAATGATTAAAAAACAGTAGTGACCCCCTGGAACAACCACTGCCCAGAAATCAGATAATTTCATGAGAGCTGCAATGCAGAATCCACATCTGCGAAAGTAACAGAGAAGAATAGAGAAGCAAATGAAATCATCAAGAACACGGTGATAGATATGCCTTGCGTAAGTGCAAGCGGAGTTAGGCCAAATGGAAAAAGAATAGAAGGTTTCCCCTACAGGTATGGGAAGGAAGAAGAGGTGAGAGGATAGTATGTGTATGCCATGGAAGGTCTCTCTCTTCAAGTGTTAAAAAAAAGTTTTCCTCTTTCTATGGACTGGGCAATTACTATCATAGGTTCCAGTAGCATATGCAATGCAAGAGAAGTTATTCTTCCACCAAGTTCAATATCTGATTTAAAAAAATCTTCATCGGTATATTCCAGATAATATGCATTCATGTACAAAATTCACTCCTAGTATGACCAAGAACTGATTCAAAAAAAGCTATCAGCAAGAATCTTCTGGAAACATTTCTATTTTTTCAATTTTATTAAGACAAGAATAGAAATGAGATTACACGTGTACAATGTGCAGGAAAAATACCTGCATTCTTCTGCAGATTCATGACTAAGCCACTTATCATTAACAAAGAAAAATGGGGGGCAAGACAAACTTATAATACAATTTACAAGTGAAATAACTACAATTCATAACTGAAATCTAAGGGCAACCTAGAATGAACAAAGAGCACTATATTCTCAGGAAAACAAAAAACAAAAAAAAAAGTGCGACTTACAATTGGCCTTTTTACTCTCTATCACATGCTATGTCAATCAGCTGATGCCTAACATGATGGGGGTTGAAGTTGCTTCAGCCGTCGTACAGCTTGCTTCATCGTAGGCCTGGTCGAGAGAGAATCAACAGTACACACGACCGCCAAGTGCAAAACATCGATCAAATCATCATGGGGGCCCACATCCCACAACCCTGCAGTGAAGAACTCCTTGGCACGCCCCTGTCGCAGGAGCATGCATGCCCACGTGACAATATTGAAACCATTACCAAACGAAGAAAATGACGGATCGAGGGCTTTCTTGTCCGATATTAACTCAAGCAGCACGACCCCATAGCTATAAACATCGGCCTTGTCAGAAACACGGCAAGTCATTGCGTATTCTGGAGCAACATAACCAAAAGTTCCGGCCACGCCTGTAGTGGCATGGGTTTCAGAAGTACCCAGAAGCCTGGCCAATCCAAAGTCGGATAAATATGCGTTGTAATCATCATCCAACAAGATATTACTAGGCTTGACATCACGATGAAGGACACGTGGCACACACTGATCGTGTAGATAGGCTAGTGCCCGTGCTATGTCCAAAGCAATTTTGTGAAGTACCCTCCAATCCACCACCCTCGTGGACCTTTCTTGGATGAACTTTTCCAAATTACCACCTGGCAAATAATTATATATGAGAAACATCTCTGTCTCGCTCGCGTGATAACCTATTAAGGTCACAAGATTCGGATGCTGGAGCCTCCCTAGGGTTTTCAGTTCTGCATCGAATTGTTGAACCCCTTGGAACCGTCCAACTGCAAGCCGCTTTATTGCCACTAAAACTCCAGGAGAAATCTCAGCTTTGTAGGTTGTACCGAAACCTCCACTGCCTATGCAATTGCTCGCATTGAAACTACCTGTGGCCCGCACAATATCCTCAAAAGTCAGTGGAACTCTGATATCAGTGAAGATTGTAACTTCTTTTCTTGCCAACCCACCAGTTTGGGACCTCGGTTTCCACTTTCTAGTGTAAAAGAAGAGGACAAGAAGTGCAAGGAGGACCGATACAATTGCGGATGCTGAAGTTATTGATGCGATCTCAATAGGATTTAAACTACTACTCCCACTTCCCTGGGGTGGGCTCATTGTTGGATAAGCAACATAATTTTGCAAATCCCTAGTTCCACCCTGTGGAGATGGAACCGTTAAGGAGAGCATACGGCAAGATCGTAGAAAAGGGTTTCCTTGGACATTCCTGCATTTCATCAAATTACCACTCAATGGTAGTGGCCCAGATAAATTATTGAACGACACATTGAATGCTGAGAGTGTTGACACATTTGCCAAACTAGAGGGAATCTGCCCCGAGAGTTTATTGTTGTTGAGCAAAAGAACAGTCAGGTTCCTCAAATTCACAATGTCTTTTGGAATCCCACCAGAGAGATAATTTGAAGAAAGTTCAAGCACTTCTACAGAATGCAACTGGCCCAAGCTTGTAGGGATGGATCCAGTCAAATTATTACCAGCCAGAGAAACAAACTTAAGACCCCTTAGCTGGCCCAGGCTGTTTGGGATTGGACCTTGCAACAGGTTCCAACTCAAATTAAGGGCAACAAGAGACACCAAATCCCCAAAACTAGGAGGTATAGTCCCAGAAATTTGATTCCCAGAGGCATCCAAAACTTTGAGAGATCTGCACATTGAACCGATGTCTGCTGGAATTTTACCAGATATTCTGTTGTTGCTGACATTAACAATCACTGCATTCAATCCGTTGCACTTCTCAAACAGATCTCCAGGAAATGGTCCAGTAAGCTTGTTTTCACCAGCAAGAAATGCATAAACAGTCGAATCTGCTAATCTCTCAGGTCCAATCAGCATTGACTGCAAAGCACCAGTAAAGTTGTTATCACCGAAATTATGAAGCACTGCAAGACCACCAACATCTCCAATAAATGGAATTTCAGCCCGAGTTCTATTGCCAAAAAATGACAGATATGCAGATGAGAAATCGTCTGGCTCAAAAGGATATCCACTCAAAGATGGCATATGGGAGCAAGACGTGTCATTGAAACTAGGAATTGAACCCGAGAGGTGATTTCCACTGACATCAAACAGAGTCATACAAGGTAGGAGAAGTTCCCCAGAGACCTCCCCTGTAAGCCTATTCGAGCTCAAATCAAGAAATTGAAGTTTTTTGCAGCCACTAAAACCCTCGGAGATTGCCCCAGTGAAAAGATTCTGGTTCAAGTTCACCATCTCTAAATTGTCACAAGCACCCCAACTATTGGGTAAACTTCCCTGCAAAAACACCCTTGGTGCCCATATCACCTTCAGCTTCGGAAGTGTCACAATTTCTGTGGGAATTGCACCTTCGAAGAAATTGAGTTCATCGCTAATCGGACTAGATGGCCCTAATGAGGAATCACCTTCTGAATAATTAATGTTTGGAAGAGGATTGAACAAATTTGAAAACACAAGGACAGATAATTCAAAACAATTTCCGAGCTCAGGAGGTATTGGACCACTGAGGCTGTTCCTTGACACATCCAACACTTCAAGCTTAGTGAGCCGGCCAAGTTCAACTGGAATAATCTCTTGAAACAAATTGGAATACAAGACAAGTGAACGCAATCCTGTACAATTCCCCAAACTACTCGGGATACCTCCAATCAAGAAATTACCAGCAAGCTCCAAATGCTCGAGTTTCCCACAATTGTCACCAATCTCATTTGGAACCGATCCACTAAGTTGATTAAAAGACAAGTAAAGGCCCCTCAAATCTCTAAACCCGCCAATAAACCCCGGGATAGTTCCATTCACTCGATTCCAAGCTAAATTCAAGACTTGTAAACTCATACAAACTGACAGCGAATTCGGTATCTCTCCCACAATCTCATTAAACCCCAAATTGAGAAGCCTCAAACTCCGCAAACCCCCAAAATGAGATGGCAAAGACCCAGTAATCGAATTCCCTTCAAGATCGAGAACTTCCAATTTTTCCACACCCCATATTTCACTAGGAATTTCACCACTCAATTCATTGAAAGGAAGTGACAAAACCCTAAGTTCCGTGAGCTTCGCAACCTCCGGCGAAAGAACACCCACTAATTTTACATTACTATCAAAACAATTCCTCCTAATACCAAACCCATAAAGTGGAAATTGAGCAAATTTAGCACAAGAAGAGATCGAATTACCTCCACCAGTGATATTGAGAGCCACAACTCGAGAATTCGAATCGCAGGTAACACCGAACCACGAACAGTGATCAGAATTACTTGAAATCCAACTCGCGAGCACTCCGGATGGGTCTGAAACTGAGTTCTTGAACTGCAATAGAGCCGATTTCTCCGAATCGGAGCCGAAAACGAAGGCTTCGTGAGCTAGAACGAAGACCCAGAAGAGAACGAACAATTTCAATGGTTTCTGAAGCTGGTAACAATTGATCACAGACGAACAACGACCCATCACCGAAACCCTAAAAGGGTCAAAATAGTAACAATTGAAAAACCCCTCAAACCACGTTTTGCTTTCGAGTTGAATATAGCAGAGAAAAGAGTGGGTTTTCTTGTTCAAAACCCTAACCCTAACCCAAAGTTGAGAGACTCTTCCTTTGTGAACAGAGCAGAGAGAGAGAGAGACATTCAACCGTTGTTCTTTTGACAAAACGTGTTACGTGGTGTTGTTTTTCATTTCATTTTTCTTCTCTTCATATGTAGAATTTTTCTTTTTCTTCCTTCTATGGCCCTTTTTCCCATAATTGCAAAATTGATGAAATGTTAAAAATTAACTGTAAAGATGCCAATTTTTTAGCCAAAAATGAAAAAATTACTCTTTTTTCATCTCTTTCCTTACATTTTTTCCATCCTATAACTTTTGTGATCGGCCATTCGTCATCGGTCGCTATCTCTATTGTCATCACTACAATTATTTACTCTCAAATAAATCTCTCACTTACCTTTTTAGAACCACCGTTACCCACTAGTACTACGTATTAGAACCATCATCGTTGATCACTATGAAAGGCTTACATTTTTTTTTCCCCTTATAACCCTAGCCCCAATCCCCTTTACCACCATTGAACCAACTCCATGAAACTCCACTACACACTACCATCTTGTAGATTTAGCTTCACTCATTGACCTAATCACTCTCGCCATCACCTAAAATATCATCGGCCATCATTGCTTCAAACAAAACTCAAAGAGAAAAAAAGGATAAAGAGAGAGAAGATTGGACCAGATCTAAACCAAATCCATCACAAACCATTGTTAAGAAATGGATAGGGGGATTGGAATAGCAGAGAGGGGAATTGTGATGGCCGGCGATGGTGGTGGGAAAGTGGCAGGCATGGTGGCCCACGATGGTGGTGTAGTGGCAATAGCCGACAACAGCGATGGCGGTGATCAATGATGGTCATAGATGGTAGTGCTAGAAGGAGAAAGTGAGAGGAGTCGATGATCGGGTTCTCTCCAAAGAAGAAAAAATTAGAAGCAACAACTTATATTGGGAATGCAAAAGATCCACGTCAAAAAGTAAGAAAAAATTATAAAATTTATTAATTTTGTCTAACATTATAAATTCATAAATTTTTAATATTTAAACTGTATAATTTTATATTTAGACAAGGACTAAGTTTAAATTTATCAATTTGAATTAAATTCCTTGAAAAATTGAATATGAACTTTCACAACTTGAACAATTTGAATTTTATTTGAGTACATATAATTATAACAAATATAAAATATACATATAAAGTATTAATTATTTTAAATTAAATATAAAAAAAAAATTAAGGATACATCCTCTACGTATTTGTGTTAAAGTTGCCAAACACTGAAAATTTGCTTGCTAGTTAGGATTTCAAATTTTGGAAGAATAAGAGAAAAAGTTGATATGAATGGTTCAAAAAATTGTCATAGAAAAAGTTGATATTATTTACTTGTTAAAAACTCCATTAAAATTAAGAATCGCAACTACAAACTAAAGGAATCAACAAGCAACTGATAAAATTAGCTCGAACAAGGCAAATTTACACTAAGTGACCTGTCCAAGTTTCTACATCAAATTCACAGTTGAACGCAATTTTCTTTCATCGTCCAACTGCTTTTTGTGATCCAAACACATGAAGTAAGCTGTGTGCCCCAACACCGATAGAGAAACACAATAATTAGTCACAAACTCTAAAACTTCTCAATTAGACAGGACTCGCTATGCCTAAAGAAATGTGATAAGCCTTCCATGAACGGGAGTCCCAACTTCATGTCTCCAAACACAGGCATGCGTTTTGAGTGATGGGGGGATCAATTGTTGATTCTTATGAAACACGAACAAGCTTTTGTCTCAACAACAAAGTGGGCAACAAGAGAAGCAAGGGAACCATCTTGTTTGAGCAGGAGGTTCGGCTTTTGGGGTCACTGCTTCACCACCTTGTGGCTCTGGCTTCTGTGCTTCAGGGGGCTTCGACTGTGAAATATCTGGAGCCCCCTTTGCCGAGCCAGTTCCAACACTTCCACCTGTCAATCTGAAATGAAGACAGATAAAGTCAGCACCATGCTTCAGGTATTGACTCAGAATCAACGTGTTAATGCATCTGCAAGATAGATAATACCATTGCTGTCAAATTGCGAATTGAACCGTGAATCTTTTTATTTTTTATTTTTTTCTTTTTATTTTTTGTAACTAAGTTGTATATATATGCATGTATACAAATAAAACCATGCTTATCAATACAACTAGTTTGATATCTTTTCTTTTTTTAATTTTGCTAAAATGACTCTGTTTCATATATTATGTAAATAGAACTAAATCATAGCAAATCTTACTTAATCACAATAGAATCATAAGATTCACTCTATTTAAAATTCAATTGCACGAATCAGATCATTTTGCTTGAAACTCATATTGAATCGTATGAATCAAATCGTGAATCATACTATTCTAACAACCATGAATAATGCCAAGGAAATAAATTTTGCTTAATCAGCAGTCAGATCATATTAAATAATAAACTGTTGAATATGTAACATAGTTTATGGCTAAATGTAAACAGACACATGTTAGTTTGGCCAAATTCAAATTGGTGATGAGTGATCAAGCTAACAGCAGGTTAGGAATGTATAACAGAAAATGTTTAGGAGACATTATGATGTAGCACAACGCCTATGATCAACCATGAAAATTCATCATTTACTTTAATGAATATATATATTGCACCTACTTTGTTCCTAAATCACTAGCTATGGGTGCAAACACGATGCGTTTGCAATTTTGCATCTAAATTTTTTGGCTATTTGATAAATAAATAAGATGGGTTGAATTTGAAAACTGTTAGCCGTTATTTCAATTTACATTTTAGGCATCCTTGGTATACAAAAACGGAAAGAAAAGCATGATAAAGTTTCAAAACTGTTCTGGGTTGTGTGCTTTATATAATCGCATAGATGATTTAGCAATGAAATGAGGTGTGAAATGCATTCATTCAAGTAGTCATTCATGCAACGTACCATAGGAGATTCACAGACAATTGTTTCTACATAGATGTGCAATAAAGAATCAGCAACTTACACTGGGAATGCGAAAGATCTACTGCTATTGCCACTCTCGTCAGAAAGGCGAGCGGTGCTCCCAGAATTACGTGCACCATCGGGAGGAAGCATTTCTTTACCATCTGAAGCTTTCGAAGCACTCGTTGAAAAATGAAACCCCTCAGCAGGCGGTGTGCTTTCTTTGCTATGATCTTCTGATGTTTCCTTCGTAACCACCTTTGGCGTTCCATCTCCCACTTCTTTTACTCCAGACTCGTCGCTTGTACTATCACTCTTTCTTTGATTGTCAGCTGTTACTTCATTTACCGTGGCCAGGCTAGATGGATTGTTCAATTCACCGGACTTGGTCTCTGTAATAGGTTGTGTGCTAGATGTAATTTTGCACAACTCATCGGGCTTGAGTAGTTCACCAGACTTGCTCAAAAACATGGCATCTCTGGAGAAACTGTTGTTCCCCATGTGAATACTAAACAATGACTCATTCGAAGCGACACTCCATTCCATAGGCGTGGTGGGTTTGCTAGAGAAAATGGATGATGGAATTCTCTCTGGGTCGTAGTCTGAGCCAGGTCGTCCCATTGTTTGTATAGGAGGGGATTGCTTTGGAGAAATCTCGGGTGATGACAAGGGTCCCGCTTCAGCCTTTGGCGACGCACTTACCATGCTCCACTCTGGAGTCTGAGCAGAAACTTCAGGTGATATGACGACTTTTGCACTTGGCGAACTAGGACTATCTTCCTTTTCTCTGTCTGAGTCCATCAAAGGATCAAAAGATGAAGCAGATGAAGATGAGGAGGAGCGGGACATTTGTCCTTCAACAATTGGTTTGCCATCATTAGGAGAAGACTCGTTAGTCATCTTCAAATGCTTACTACTTCCAGTCCCACGTTCTGAATCCACTGCTTGTTTAGTTATTTCGGCCGTTTTTAGGACCTATGCCACCTCAACAATAGCAATTGTGCTGCACGATGGAGAAAGACAGCATTACATTTACAAGAAAACAGAGAGTCCACAAAAATGGAATAATAAAGATTGATAGTGGTCATGTTTATATCAGTAAACATGTATCATAAATAAAGAACATAAATGCCCCAAAATAATGTATCTTGAACCTTACACCAAAGACAGGAAATTGTGAAGTGATTTTAATTTCAAAGATGTCTCAAAAGCCGATCACTAATACCTGATTAGATTAACACTTGGCCCAAAAAATGCCTAAACGAAAATTCAACTCACACAAGTTACAGATTAAATAAATAGATAGATAGACAAAAACAGTTTTTCTTGCCCTGGTTCCAAAAGGCTATTTTCTATGTCTTCATTCTATGGTGCGCTTGTTTCTATTGATACGAATCTCTTCCCTTGGAAATATGTGTGGGTCTCCGGCACGCCTTCCAAGGCAGCTTTCTTTGTTTGGACGGCGATTTTAGACCATATTCTGACCATTGATAATTTAAGGCAGCATGGGCATATTATAGCAAATTGGTGTTATCTGTGTTATGGCAATGCCGAGTCGATGAATCATTTGCTTATTCATTGCCCAGTTGCTTCTAAGTTGTGGATGCTTCTTGTTGTTACTTTTGGCTTGGTATGGGTACAATCAGACATTGTGTCGGCTATTTTACAAAGTTGGGCTGGGAGTAGGGTTGGGCGGAGGCGTCGGAAAGCATGGATGATAGCTTCTCATTATTTAATGTGGCTTCTTTGGTTGGAGCGCAATAGGCAGGTTTTCCAAGGGGTGTCACACTCAATTCCTTGGTTGGAGGGACGGTTGCTTATGGGGTTATATAATTGGATTACAGGGTTGGTTGATCCAAATGTTTTGGCTTTTGTAGATTTTGTGGAGAATTTACTATCTTATTTTTTTCTTTAGGGGCTTGATTTTTGTATTCTTTGAATCATCTTGATACTTTTCTAATAAAGTTTGCATATTTATAAAAAAAAAAAAAAAAAAAACAGTTTTTCTTTGCTTTGGTCTTGAAAAGATTGTGACAATAAAATAGAAATGGGCTTAAGACACTTACTATATGAAGGCACATTTGGCCTCTTACGCGTTACTTATTCACATCCCTAAATTCTTCTAGAATTCAAATGAAGCCTTAGGGTATAGCACAGAAGAGGTTCTGGAACCATGAGAAAGAAATGGATTTCTATTGTTCTAACATTAATTTAACAACATTTGTTGATGATGCCCCTACATATTGAGGCTAGTGATATCATATAATCAATTTCCACAAGTTTATTGATTTGAAATGGTAGCATTACCGGTGTGTTGGTGTGCAAAGAATTTGGAACATGTAGAGTTTTTAGGAGATGGACAAAAACATCAACATCCATGGAACTCAATAATTCTAACCCATTTGTTGATGGCTTGATGATCAATGAAGCAACAAAATCTCATGCAATTTGAAGACCATTTTTTTTTTCTTTTTCACAATCGGTAAGAGGGTAATAGGGAAGAGAAAGCATCAAGCACAACCGTAAAACTCGAACTTAGACATCACACTTGGTAATCTCAAGACCAATCAATAAATCAGCATAAAATTTGCAATTTTAAATTGGGATTTTGGTAATCATTTAATTTGAATGATTTTTGTACGAGGGTTTTGCATCATTAATGATCATGTATATAGACAAAACTATATTTAAAAAGAAAGAATAGAAAAAGAAAAAGAAGGACAGGAATTGAACTTACTTGATAAATTGAAGAAAACCCTAGAGGACCAAGAAATTGTTGATGATCAAAAGTTTCCCGAGAATCTAGAACTGAGGAATTTGAATGAAGGAAAGAGAAGAAAAAAAAGAAAAAGAAAAAGAAAAGAAAAGAAAAGAAAAAGAGAATATGGAATGGAAATAATAGTTGAAAACAGAGAGAGATTGGAGAAAAAGAAGAGAAAATGACCGCCGGAGAGTATTAGCGTTTGATCTGAGAAGATGTGCAGAACAAGGAAGGGTTGAGCGGCCATTTCGGTGATCATATAAATTTTTATTTATTTCATATAACAAAAATAAAAATAAAAAAAAGTTTTTGGAGAGACCATTGGCGCCAAATTAACTAACTAGTACCCTTTTATGCTCAAACTGAGTGTTTTGGGGAAATTTCATGCTTTTGCCATGTGTAAATTTTTTTAACAAAATATTGGGCAAAATTTATTTGAAAAAAAAAAAAAACAGGTTAACCCTATAAGAAAATAAACTTTGAGTTTTTTAAATTTCTCAATTTAAATTCTAGTTTTATTTATTTATTTTTAATGTAAATCATTTATTTATTTTTGTTAAGTAAAATTAATAGAAAAATAGTATTTTAATCATTAAATTCAATGAAAAACAATATTTTAAACATTTGATGTACACCTACATTAAATTTAGTGACTAAAAAATATATATGTTTTTATATCGGTTTTACTTAACAAAAATGATAAATGGCTTAAATTGAAAATAAATCAAAAGATTATATTTTAAATTGACAAAATTAAAAAAAAAATTAGAATTTATTTTGTTATAAGGATTAAACTCTAGGGTTTTTTTTATTATAATTTTCACAAAATTATTCAAATTTCTCCTGAGATTTGACAAAATACATTAAGTCACTTGAGTTCAACATAATTCATTAAGTTTTGTTCTTTGTTCATGTAATACTTAACTCATTTTTCATCAATAATTATTCAGTCTAATGGATAAAAAAAATATATAGTTTCATTTACATTGAATGCATAATTTATCTTACTCACCATTTGCCTCAGTTTCAATTATTTTAAATTAACCTTATTAAAAAGGAAGTCAGTGTAATTATATCAAATTTATGAGATTTATTATAAATTTTTTCTAAACTTTAGAGGTGATCTATGTAATTTACCCAAAAAAATAGTAATATATTAACATTATTCATTGGAAAATGCCAACAAGTGTTTTAAACATTGTTTGATTTGATATTAAAAATTGGGTAGAAATTATTTTCAAAATGATAAAAAAAATTTAAACCCATGAAAAGCATTTTTAAATTTGTAAAAATTGGAGTGTATTTTTAAATTCTCGAGGCCTTTATTAGCAAAATTCTCTTCTTCTTTTTTAATTACTTTTTTAGGTTAATTGAATTCCATACTCTCTCGTTTTTATTTTTCTTTTTTTTTTTTATTTTATTTAAAGAATTGAATGCCATATTCTACCTCTCTGTTTTTAGACATTTGTGCATGCCAGCACTTTTATGTTGTATTAAACTTAATTTTTATCCAAAAATAGATTTCTACTTTCTCAAAATTCCACACAAATAGCATGAGTAAATCTGAAGTTTTTAAAGAAGAAAAACAATTATTATTGACTTATTTTTTTTATTTTTCATGTTAAAAGTTTTCCTCACATTATTCTCTTTAATTTTCTCTTTCTTTTCAAGGCCAGGCAAAATTCTTTTCCAATACAAGAATATTCATGTAACTGACCTTAGTTTCCTCTTATTCGATACAATACATTATTTAGAGTTCATTGTCACAAAAATAAATATTAACACAGTACACACTAAAAATTTTTTTTTAAAAAAAAAAAACCATGTTTATCTTCAATTCCAGTGGTTAAATTTAAAAAACTGAGTATGGTTTATTGATCGTAGTTCATACTAGGCTTAATTAATACCTAATGAAAAATCATTTGGGCATAACTAAAATCACGATATAATAGTCATTACTAGTCATTTTGTGATGCAACCAAACACCATAATGAGTTGTAATCAATTTTAATATAATAATTTATTAACTAGTAATACTAGGTACTTAAAAATTTATCAAAAAAATATTCCGAAGAAAACAATGTATGATGGAGATTTTGTTGTGTTACTAGAGAAGAGAAATTGAATCTAAACCACATTTTGAGTAAATCCCTTAACAATTTTTTTGATTTTTTATATTTTCTGATCTCTAATTGTGTGGATGATTTTCCGACCACACTGCTCGCTTAGTAACCAGCTGGAGAGCACTGGCAGAATAGATGGCACCTGACTGACCTGCAACAGAAATATAAGAATCCCGCGGTGGTTTCGACCACCCGGGGGCACTCCGACGATCAAGTCAGTATATCTCTCAAAGATAAATCAAGTACTAAACTCACAAGCTTGAGTATCAAAAAGCATACCTTAGACCCATGGGGGTGCCTCTCTTTTATAGCCAATACAATCCTAGTCCCAATAGAAGCCTGACTTCTATGGACTCAGGATTACTATTAATCTGGGACTCCCAGTGAGATTGAGATAAACTCTCTAAAAGTCTTATCTTTACCCAAACTGAAGTCTTCTCTTCATTCTAGGACTCTTGTCCATATTCAAGTGGAGTTCCCTTTTCATTCTAGGACTCTTGTCCCTTATCTGCTTATCTCGGATTCCGATATCTTCGGCGTCACGACCAGGACACGTGGCACCTCGGCTGACACGTCGGCATCACCTTGCCACGTGTTGGTACTCAGAAAATATATCCCCACACTAATCATACCACCATAATGACATTTGTCTCCCCAAAACCATCCTCTAGCCAGCCAAATGACTCCTAAATATCACAATAATTTGAAACTAACATCAATTAAAGTATACCATGCATATGGTAACTATGAAAAAAGAAAAAATACAAAAAATTATTTGTAATATGACCCATTTTCGCGTGGGGGTATTTTTGAAAATATGATGAGAACTGAGGGTAAGAGACAAGAAGGCATATCAGAGGTTGAATTTGGTCAAGTTATCCATTCATCTCCTACCTAGTTGTTGATCTTCAGATGCTCTAACTCTTCACCTTTCTTAATTGATTACACATAAAAATGCTGAAAGCTGCTGGGAGTACAATAACAATGGAGAAAGCAGTGAAGAAACTGCTATTTGAAAATAGGATTCAAAGTTTAATAAGCTGTAAGTTAATCTCCATTACTACTTTCTTTATACAAATATTATACTTTCATACCACCTGAAATGCTGAAAACTGCACATATCTCACTTGCTTGGAACTCCTCAATTTGCAGGTGAAAAAGCATCGAGACCATGTATTCGGATTCCATTTTTTCAGCTCAGTTCGCTTGCTGTTATCGAGAAATCGAGTTCTCAGATAGCAAGCAAGCACAGGGATTCAATGAAGGTGAGGACTATCCTCATTTCTGTATTCCTCACTTCATAAACTGAAATTTCTTTCTCTATCAATTTTTTTTTTTCCTTTTCTTTTTAGTAAGTTATGCAGTTTTTTTTTTCTTTTTCTTTTTCTTTTCTTTGTACTGGTAATTTGCAAACCAGCATATCCACGCACATAACAATTATAAAGTTTGGGATGCTTAGAAGGAAAATCATATATGCTTTTGTTTGGTTTCATTTTCAAATCTGTTTTTTGAAAATCTTTCAAGAAAACTAAAACTAATTTGGCGAAAATAATAATAATAATAATAATACAACACTCATAATTTTCATATAATTTTTTCTTTTTGGAAATATTTTTTTTTAATTTTGAAAATATTTTTTTGGTGTTTAATCTTGTCAAACTACTTTTTGTATTTTGCTGATGATAAGGTTTTTGTAAACTTTAGGAGGGTTAAAAGTTAAATTTTGAGGGGATTAATTCTAATTTCTCTTATTAATAGTTAAATTTACATGGTATTGATAAAGATTACTTGTGACATAAGACTCATGCCTATTAATCATGGGTCATGTAACGCTCCAACTTCTGGGCCGTTAAATATGTACAATAATATAACACCAGTAGGATAAATAACTAAAACATCTTAATATACATATATAACCAGAGTTAATATCACAGATAATTCGTTTATGTTCCATTACACGATTACCAAAACATTGCTAAATCAAAAGTCAAAAGGAAAAAAAATAACTAGTCTAAGTCTTCAAATGAACCACAACTCCAGCACTTCATCTTATTTACCTTCGAATTAACCTTTACCATTGTAAACTACTCCATCACCTAGCATGACATGCCATGAGCTTGGAATGCCCAGTAAAAACACACACACACCCATATCTTTTATCAACCAATCAACCATACACAGAACAAATCGGGTAACATAACATACAACATTACAATAAGGTTCTATGAATTAGTAGTTAGACTAGACATCTAGAATCTCCCCAAAGAGATCCTTCTACCTAACCACAAGGATTGAATACCGGACTATTCAAAACTCGCCATTTTGCTGCTTTGCAGACCTTACCACCTATGCCCACCTTTTGGTTATTTACCGGTCAGTGACATTGATGGACCTCAAAAAAGACGACCAAACAAGTGAACTCGCTTACACCCAAATAGTGTTTAGGGCTCGCTTACACCCTGTACATACCATACCAAAGGGTTGAATTTTCAAGACAACATCACCGACAATGAAAGTTAGAGGTCTTCTTTATCTGCATAACTCTTCTGACGATCTTGTGCTGCCACCAATCTTTGTCGAATAAGTTTCACCTTTTCTGTAGTTTCTTTATTCTGTTCCACCACTATTGGTGTTTTAAGTTTTGGTACACTTTTGTCCCTCTTGTGTGCACTGCAAACACCGAATGATGGAACTTTTTCAGAACTTTTTCTCTAAGAGACTCATCTTATGGCACAAACACGCTGCCTTGATGTCTCAAACTTCGATCCGAGTGAATCGTCCAATCAAGTATATGATCGCCGGATGCTATTTACGCTTTTATGAACGCCACCTCCTGATCATACTTCTGTGACTCCATTGCCTTGTTCAGTAATTTGGTCGTAGCAGCTTGAGCACCAAGGTATACCTTCTCGTCATAAGCTTTCATCTGTACTCTGAACTCATTAAGTGTTCCAACTATGTTCCATTCCTTGAGTGCCAAGCTAACAATAATTCCTCGGTTCTTGCAACTTAGGGCATCTACCATCACATTAGCTTTGCTAGGATAATAAGATACAGCACCATCTTTGTCTCATCTTCAAGTCCTTCTATGTACACAAATACTTCAAGCTCTTATGATCCATGAGAATCTCAAATTGTTCATCATATTAACGCCATTGCTTTAGCGAAAAACCATCACTGCCAGCTCCAAATCATGTGTTGAATAATTCATTTCATGCGATTTCAGTTGCGTAGAGTCGTAAGCCACCACCTTTCCATTTTGCATTAACACACCACCAAGCTCATCCTTAAACGCATTGCAATACATTGTATATCCTTCGTCTTGCTCCGAAATGATGAGTATTGGGCACTAGTCAATCTCCTTTTGAGTTCTTGAAAGGATTGTTCACATGCTTCATCCCAATCATATTTTACCCCTTTTTGCGTTAGACGAGTCATTGACTTGGCTAGTTTTTTTTTTTTTTTTTTTAAAAAAAAATCTGGAATAAACCATCGGTAATACTCAGCCAACCTTAAGAAACTACGAACTTCGAATACTGAGGTTGGTTGCTTCCAATCTAATACTACTTTTACCTTAGTTGGGTCCACTGCAATCCCATGCTCAGACACTATGTGTCCCAAAAATTTAACTTCCTTCAACGAGAACACCCAGCAAGTTGATTATGCCACCGCATTGTCTTGCTCAGACACTCCTCTCTATTCCCTTAAATTGGAAACACCTCCCATCAGGTGTGTAAGTCATCACCCTCTTCTGGTAGCAATCAATCACCATTCAGTGGGCAGATAGCCAATCCATACTTAAGATTATGTCAAAATCAAACATGTCCCTGACCACAAGGTCACAAATCAAGTGTAAACCTGACACTTCTAATTTGCACTAACACTTCCTTCCACAGGTGATGCAATACTTAAAATAGTTTTTAAATGTTCATATGTAAGACTTAACGATTTAACACATGATGTTTTTATAATAAAAAAATGGTGCACCATAATCAGATAGAGCGTGAACCCAAGAATTATAGAGTACGATGTTACCTCTAACTACTAACGGGTCTTCGTCCTCTTCCTTTGATCGTAGGTCTAGCTCCCATTCGAACTTTCTTGCATTTTCCCTCTCAATTGACCCAATTGTTCTAGAATCTGGTTTTCAATGTGGCTCAAGATTTCAACTGCGGGTATTGGTCCATTCTCAGGGTTTCAATTACATGATACTTCATTCTTATTGCGTTATTGCTCGTGAGCTCGTGTGTTATCGCTTGTCTAGGTGCAACCGTTGGCTCGAGTGTGGTTCACTATTTTTTTTTTTTTTTTTTTTTTTGTTCATAGTATGGGGTGAGGCATAAGTTGGAGTCTAATTATGAAGGCAATTCTCAAGGGTAATCAATTAATCTTAAAGTTATGGTTTAATTATCCCATAGTGTTTAAAGCAATAAGATCAAGTAGTAAATAACAAATATAGGGAAGTACACAACACAACTTCACATATATATATATATATATATAGGCAAAATAATAACTACAAGACTTTTAAAACAGGATTAATAAAAGGAAAAATGAAGTGGAGATGAAAGAATATTATAGTAATTGCATCAATTAATACAAGGATCGTCGGAAATACAGATGGGTTATGATTTAAGACTTTTATGTGGTCAAGGTATAGAGATAGTGACCAAGTTAGATATTTAACTTGCAACTGCGTCAGCCATCCACGTTTCAAACTGAATATTCAAGATTCGTCACCGAATAAAGAAATTGCAACTTTCAGAAAAATTCTCATATAAGGTGGCATTGAAAAATATAAAGTAAGACCAGATGGTAATGACTTAATCTTGAAGTAAACGACATCAAACAAGGTTACAAATATGAAATGAGGGTATGACGATCGATAGAAGACTCATAGAAATAACAGTATCCCCTACTTCTATATTGTATCTAATGTTCAACATGTTGCCCTACTCAAAGTTAACCACTTCCCTTCGTAGGTGATCGTCAAATCGTTTATAGTTGAAACGTGTGGATAAGGATTGAACCTAAACTCTGATACCATTCTATAACGGCCCAAAAGTTGGGGCGTTACGGGTCACCTAAACCGTTTGGTGCGGTTGCAGTTAGGTTGCTCAGTCTATCTTGAAATAGCGCTGCAAATCCCCCTAAACCCTTTTGTAGCTGACCCATTTAGGTCGACCACGTTTAGAGGATTCACTTTCATGCGAATAGTTAAATTTACATAGTATATTGATACAGATTATTGGCAGTATAAAACTCATGCCCATTAATCATGGGTCACTTGGCTCCTTTTAACCGTTTAGGTCGATCACGTTTAGAGAGGATTCACTTTCACCACGTGTTGATTGCACCCTCCTACCCTGTTTTATGAGATTTCTAATTATTTTGCTTGAAATTTTTATTTTATTTTTGGTCAGGTTTATGCAATGAGGAGGAGGAGGTCAAATATAGAGACAGACACTTATGTTCTAATGGAACCTGGAAAAAATGAGGAGTTTGTCACCAAGGACGAATTGAGGGACCGGTTGAAGGGTTGGCTGGAGAATTGGCCAGGCAAGTGCCTGCCACCTGACCTTGCAAAATTTGAAGATATTAATGATGCTGTTTCATATCTTGTTAAATCTGTTTGTGAGCTTGAAATTGATGGAGATGTTGGTTCTATCCAGTGGTTCGAAGTTCGTTTGGAGTGACAAACCACCATATGTCAAACTGTCCCAAGAAATGAAATGTGTTTTCTTTACATTCAGTGCCATTTTGACAAAAACAAATAATTAACGAGATAATTTTAAGACACTTTTTTTTGGGCAAGTAGATTATTTTAGACACATTCAAGCAAACCCCACCTTGTTCATTGCTAATTATTTTACATAGGGTACACCGTCCATAAGAAAACAGCAATTAAATAAGCCTACAAATTCTTTGTTCAGTTGCAATGAGCAAGAAAATTTTGCTTTTCCCTGGAGAATAATACAGTGCAATGCACAATTCCAAAAGTTGGAGTAAGAAACCCCAAGAAACAAGCTACACATGTACATCCCTCGTTAAAACTTCTTAAATTGCCCACAAATTAACGGAATCAAGAATTACTGATGCTTCAAGTTTGCAAAAAGACCGACCTCCTGAAAACTCAAATCCTGAATCTGCAGAGGAGAAAAAATTCATAAAAAACATAAAAAAAAAAAAAAAAAAAAAAAACTTCGATAAAAAAAAAAAAAAGAGGAGTATTCACCAAACATTCAAACTGAACTTTGATGGCGAAGCAGTTCCATCATACCTTGGGGGGTTGATTTTTAGTTGGAGGTAAGAGCGTGCCGGGTTTTCTGGTTCGCGCAAGAAGGCCTTTCGAGACTGGAGACATCATAAGATCAGTTGGGCTTGTGTACCTGAAAAGATGAGAGAAATTAAAACAGAATAAACATCCGAGCACAAAGATACACGATTAGGCTATAAAATACTAGCAAAGAACAGAAGAAAAAATTTCACTATGAGTGTAGAGATTACAATAAATCAGCTTGTATCTCTCAACAACCCTAAGACTCAAAATAACTATACAAAATTTTTAAAATTGCACGTCATGTCAAAATAGACCCAAATACAAAACACCCAGAAAAATTAAGACGTATCCAGAAAAATTAAAGTAAAATAGTAGAACCAATTTGAATGCCATGGGGATTTAGGTAGGCACCTTTCAGGGTATTTGAATGCCTTGGGGACCGTGAGGCGATTGGGCGTATTGCCGGTCCCATTGCCAGAGTTTTGGGAGTTTTGATCAGTTCGATGAGTCTGAGGAGGTGTACATTTGGAGTCAGAATGAGTGTTTTCTGATTGAATTGGTGTTTTGGGAGGTGTTTTCAGAGCTTTCTCCATGGAATTGCAGGTGAAATAAAGGCAAACAACTTCAGAGAGAGAGAGAGAGAGCATTCAAATTTGGAGAAGTTTCTCAGATTTAAACATGTGTTGGACAGAGACGGTGACCGTTTGGGAAGAGGGTGGTTTGCAACGGTCAAATTTGGGGGTCTAAAGGAGTGGGATATTCAAAGCCATGGGAAAAGTCTGCAAAACCCAACGGATAAATTTTATTAATTTCAACAACAATGATTCCTACCCAAAAAAAAAAATATATATATATATATAATTTCAACAACAATGATTCCTACCCAAAAAAAAAAATATATATATATATATATATAAACTCACTACCGCATCATTAGTAGTGTTATTAGAGTGCCATTTTTAATGGTCTCAACCATTTTTCTAATTTCAATTTGCATAATGATTTTTATTAGTATTTTTTATTACAAGAAGACAAATTAATAAGTATATAATTTAAAAAAAATTTAAAAAAATGATATATAAGTCCTTTTTTTAGACTTATTTTTTTTAGACCCAATGATATATGAGTAATATAATTGATTAATGATTAGAAAATATATGGGAGGAAGGGTTGCTTTTAATATCCTAAGTACCACATTACTGGACTTGAAAATTGAATCTAATTTTTTGTCTTAAAATAACAATGCTCTTTAAAAAATGATATTTAGGCCAAGTTTGGGAAGATAAGAAAAAGTCAAAAAGTTAAAAAGTTACTTAAAAAGTTAAAAAGTTAACACTATTCACCAAAAGTCAACAATTACAGTCGCACAACTCTCAATCCTAATTTTTCTCTACAAACTAATTTTTACAATTTTTTAATACACATTTTTTCATAAAAAATCAAAAAGTTAATTCAAATATTTATATTTTTTCTCTCAATTTTTTAGTCTAAAAAGACAAAAAGTACACTTATTTAGAACACCCCAAACAACTCCTAAAATAACGTGTATTTTATTTTAAAATCACATATCCTAAAATGACGTCATTTTGTTCCACTTTAAAAGATAATGCTATAAATCTTAAATAATCTATCAAATATTTTACCAAATAAGACCCATACAACCACACGTATATATATGAATCTCACACACATATAAAGAATTTGATAAAATATTTAATAAATTATTTAAGATCCCGACATTACTCCACTTTAAATCTAAATCATTGAATTACCGACCACAACAAAATTATTGTGTGATATTGAACCCATTTACGTGAGAATTCGTTCTAGAAGAATTTCAAATAATTTCAAAATGTCTAAAAATGTACAAACTTGGTAGGAAAACTTTTTTTCGGAAAATTATTTTTGAAAATTGCTTCTAAAAACACTTTTAAATTGCTTTCCAAATTTTTAAAAAATGATTTTTGTAAAACATAACAAACACAGTTTTTTAAACCCTTGAGGCTTTTTTTTTTTTTTTTTTTTTTTTCTCTCTCCTCTTCTCAACGTTCCTAACCTAACCATCCTATTTATAGTAACTGTCCAACCTAAAAGACCCACTTTTTTTTTCTTTGGTATTAGTTTTCTTTATCCAAACAATTTTATTTTATTTTTTAATAAGAAAATAAACTTATATTTTATTTAATTTTTAATTATCGTGTCACGTGCATTGTTGAGAGAAGCGTCATGTTGTATCAGTTTGGGCTGGATTGAAAAACCATAAATAGGCCCACAACCCAGTCCAGTAAGACTTTTTTTGTATGAAACTCACGGAATAAAATAATGGTTTCAAAATATGAAACCCTCATTCGACCACTGTCGTGAGCATTCAAAACCCTACTTCCACCACTGCAATGGCATCCGAAACCCTCATTCCACCATTGCTGTGAGCATTCAAAACCTTCCTTCCACTACCACCGTGAGCGACGGTGCCAACAACATTGCGGATCTTTCATCAATGCCTCTTGATTTCTTATTGTATGTGTTCTCTAACCTTTGCTTATCATATAAATGTGTATATCAATTTGTATATGAAAATATGTGTGTATATATGTATCTATTTATATATGTGAATGTGATTGTAGTGTATATTGTTCAATATATGTATTTTTTGTGTGTTTATTTTCTAGTGTATATTGTTCAAAATAAAATTTTACTTTCAATAGTAAAGTTTTACTTCTAGACAGAAAATTTTACTGTTTCATTACAATGTTTGTGCCTTTTTATGCTTTCATCAATGCTTCTTAATTTCTTACTGTATGTGTTCTCTAGTCTTTGCTTATTATATAAATGTGTATATCAATTTGTATATAAATATATGTGTGTATATATGTATCTATTTATGTATGTGAATGTGATTGTAGTGTATTTTGTTCAATATGTTTTTTCATTTTTTATTTTCTAGTGTATATTGTTCAGAATAAAATTTTACTTTCAATGAGAGTAAAGTGTTACTTATAGACAGAGTAAAATTTTATTTTACAACTTTACTGTTTCATTACAATGTTTGTGCATTTTTATACTTTCATCAATACCTCTTGATTTCTTGTTTTATGTGTTCTCTAGCCTTTGCTTATTATATAAATGTATATATCAATTTGTATATGAATATATTTGTGCATATATTTATCTATTTATGTATTGTAGTGTATATTGTTGAATATATATTTTTGTGGTCTTTATATGTAATTTCTATACTTTGCTAGAACTATCTCTGTTTCTTCACTATCATTTCTTGAATATAGTGATGTACCTTTGTCAATATTATTAGTTGTAGAATTTTTGTAGGTGTTTTTGTTTATTTCCTAGGGTTTATTGTTCGGAGTAAAATTTTACTTCCAATCAAAGTAAAATCAAAGTAAAATCTTACTTCCACATTAAAACTTTATTGTTTCATTACAATATTTTTGCATTTTTGTTTTGTTGCATTATTCTTCATTTTCTTTAGTGCTTATTGTTTTGTTACTTTGTTGTTTAACGTAAAATGTTATACTGTTGATACAGGGAAACTTTTTAGTATTCGAAAATGGTTGTTACTAAAAACAAGCGTAAGGATGGTGAGGATGACGATGATTTTGAAGTTCCACTAACAGTTATAGAAAAGAAGAAACTCCCTGAAAAGAGTAGCAAAAAATCCATGAGCAATGTGGATGATGCATGTGATGATGATTTTGTGCTTGCATCAATGAGACTGAAAAAGTGCTACCCTAGTGAAGATGAAGGCTCTCATGAAAGCAATCCAATGCCTTCAACAAGAAAACCTTCAAAGTTGAATATTGTACATGGCGTACGAGAGAGAGAGAATTATGTGAAACAATATAGGTCAAATATTGTTTCATTAATAAACCTAATGCAAGACATAAAGTTCACTGAAAGGTACATTACTGCCCTCGAGAGAACAACTTTTGGGATGTTATTCAAATCTTTTTGGAATAAAGAACACCTTTTGGGATGTTATTCAAACCTTTTTGGAAGAAAGAAGATGTGGTGTTGAAAAAGTTTAAGATAGTTGACGATAATGTCATGGATGTGATCAAGTGTTATGATTTTCATGCAAAAGGATTCACGCTTGGGGGGAAAACGTGTGACATACAGGGACTGTGATGTTACTTTGATTTTTGGGATAAAGTCGGGAACAAAAAAAAGTAGATGTCTCATATGGGAAGAAACAAGAAACACCTTTTGTTCAGAGAAGGTTTCATAATATGTCAAGAGTATCCGTAAAGATTTTGCGAGAGGCATTAGGAGATACATTGGAAGGCACAACAACAGTTGATGTTAAGGATGTTGCATGAATAATATGTTTATTCATTGCGGCAACTTTGTTATTCCCAATAACCGGTCTAACAATTAGATAGGCTTTTGTCGCCCTTGTAGAAGATTTGGAAATAATGAATTCATATGCATGGTCAAGTGCAGTTGCATCCACATTGACTACTTCAATCCAGTCTTCATCAAGAAGTCCTGAAAATATGACTGGATGACTACTTCTTCTTTTGGTAAGTAAATTGAACTACTTGAAATATTACACAATCCATCTTTAGAGAATTAACTAATTTCGATTTTTTATTTTACAATATTGTTTATGCAAGCACACTACCCTCATTCAACCTGAAGACAAAAATTTGTGTCCAAGGCTCCTTCAATAGGACTTATCAAAGTTGAGGAAAAAGCTAATGAAGAGGTCATTGCAAAATCTAAAGCCTGAAGAGGTATCATCTGTGACACTCGAAATTTTTTTAATTTAATTCAATAAATAGAATTTCTAATTATATCGAAAGGTGCATAGTTCAGAAAGTTGGGAAATAACCGAATAAATTGTTAAAGGAATAGATTGCGAGACACCATAGTTTTAGAATATTAAATATTTTAGTAAGCGGTAAGTAATATTTTATAGTTGGGTGGAAAGGTTTTTAGACGTGAACCTAACATATAATCATAGGTAATTTCAGGAATCATGACTTTTAGAATTAGAATAACATAATAAATAAATAAATAAAAAGAGCCAAGTAAAATTTCGATGGGGCCAAGGGTCAACTTGGTCCTTGGTGAATTCATGGAGATGAAAACAAGGGTCAAATAAATGGCAAAAATAGGAAGCATCTGTGTGTATACTTGGGCCCCACAGATGGCACAAGAGGGGGCATCTACTTGTGTATCTCCTAGCTTGAGCCTCACTCTTGTTCAAGTATAAATAAAGGGTGTTGGGGTAAAGTGAGGAGCAACAAACTTAGCATAGTTCGGGAATACGTGAAAAATAAGGGAAATTTTATAGCAAATGTGAGTTATATTATATCTTGAGTTACCATAATATATTTTCTATATGTCTTGAGTTATCATAATATATTTTACGAATGTTTTGAGTTACCAAAAATTATTTTATATAATTTATGTTTTATAATTATGTTAATGTTTTAATTACGTGGATTATTTTTTGAACTTTATTTGCTTAAATTGAAATCCATGGATATGTTTGTTTAAATTTTAGAAATTATTTGGCAAAAATTTTATAAATAATTATGTTCTGTAAGTACCACCACGGAAGTCCCATGCCTTGGGGGACTTAAATAAACCATTGGCCCCTGTTTGGCCACCTTGTGGTCCTCTGTTTATCATGGATCCATTGACTCCTGTTCTAATTGTCACTCTAGTGACCCCTGTTCTGTTCTATTATGTACCGTGGTTATAGTTAATTTATGTATTTCAGTTTCTGCTACTCAATAAATTTGTTTATTCAACGTAAATTATGTTAATATTTTAGCTTAGATAATTATCCATGGCTATTTTGTACCCCTATACTCACAGTGTAATATTTCTTACTCTGCTGTGTGCTTATAGCTGTTACCCTTTTCAAATGACGAGATTTAGCAAGATCAAGATAGGGGATAAACCACAGTGTTTTCTTTTCTTTTCTTTTTTTGTACTATCTATATTTTTGATTGGACACTTATAATAAAATAAAAGCTCAAATGACTATTTTTTTGTTTCTTTTGAATAAACTTTTGGTACCCGTTTATTTATTTTAATTTATTTAATTTATACACTTGCGCTACGAAATTGTTAGAATTATTTCACATCATTTTATTTTTATTGTCCTGTTGCGACACTAAACCTTGTGGGTATCGGATTTGGGTTGTGACATCATCTTTTCAATCTCAGTCTTATTGGTGCGCTTTGCTTAAAATTATAGTTACATAATAAAATGTTACTCTTAGACAGAGTAAAATTTTTCTTAAATTTAGATTAAAAATTTACTTACAATCAGAGTAAAGTTTTACTTTCAAACATTACTCTGTTGGTTAAAATTTGCTTCATTGTTGACTTCTTTTCTTTTTCTAATTTTCAAATACAAGTGAATCACAATTAATTGAACCCCATTTCCAAAGAAGAAACGAATCTCATTTGCAATCATGAGGAAGAAGATGCAATGGTCATAGAGGAAAATTTGGAGACTGAAGAAGATAAAGATCATGTAGCTGAAACTATAGGAGATGATCAACCTTTGAAGGACTTCATTGATCTTGGGAGATTAGAATAAGTTCAAAAAGAAAACGAGAGGCTAAAAAGTGAAAATATGGCATTGGTTGAAGAACTAAAGAAAATGAGGGAAACAATGAAAAAAATACAAGAGGATCAAGAGGCGAAAGTAAAAGAAATGATGGAAAATATGAGCAACACAGAGAAAGAAATGGAGAAACTAAGAAATGAGTTTGAAGCACTTGAATCTGAAAATAAAGAATTGGTTGGACAAATTGAAAAAAATGCAGTTCATGCGGCTACCCAAGCTTTTGCTTCTAAAGAAATACCACATGCTAAAGGAGTACAACAAGAGCAAAACATTGGGATTCAGGTTGCATTGAAAGAAACACATGTAGTCATAAAGCCATTGCAAACATCCATGGTTAAGAAAATCAAAATGAAGGCAAGGAAAAAAAAAGAGATGTCTGATTTTGAATGTGAGACAAGAAAGGCAGAGAAAAAAAAGACCACAAAACAAGCAATTGAAGTGATATCAAAAGAAGTGATTTGTATTGACAACTTGCCTTTAAGCCAACCAAAACCAGTTGAAAAGGTTTTGTTTCCAGATAAGGCTGCAATATGCAAATTGCTTGATGAGAATGATAAGTGTCTATTGAGTAAGATTTACAATTTAGAAACCACAGAATAAGACCATTTTAATTTTATCAAACAATAGATTTTTACTGTTATCAAATTGTAACGTGTTAATCAACATTTTTTTTACCTTATGACTAGTGCAATCATATGGTCTGGCACAGGAAATAGAGTATATGTTACATTGCACGATGTGGATGCAATTCTAAGACATGGTGATACTGCAAATAATGTAAGTGGCCATACAATTTTCACTTCAATAACTAAAAATAGTTCATTTTATTAACATATATTTAATTTTTTGTAGGTCATTGAGAGTTTTGTAGAAATGCTTCAAATTGAGCAACAAGCAAAGAAGCTAGAAAAGAATAAGTCATTCTTTTTCTCAAACCTTTGTTGGGTAAACAATCAATTTGTGTTTATTTTGAATTGATAAACTTTTACTGTGATTTAGTGTAATATTGTATTGTATTTTAGACACGTGACACTCTTATATGATTGAATGCAGTCACTAGTGAAATGGGGTTATGGTGATTTGAGAAATCATTTAATTGATGAAGTGCTTGAGCAAGATTTGAGTGGATACAGATTCTTTCACTTTTGCATGAAAAACCCTATCACTAGACACTGCTTGTATTGGACACTGAATTTGATGAGTGGAGGCATTACAATTCTTTAAGGCCAAGAGACAACAAAGATGATTCTTACCTTAAGGATGCAAAATAGATTGTAAGTGTTTTGCATCATATTAACAGTAAATTTTTACTGTGTTTTATTCTTGTATTTAATTGTGACCAAACAATTATGCAATGATGTTAGATAACATATGTAGAGAAAAAGTTGGGCAACAAAAGGAAGAGAGGTACAAGAAAGTTTGCAAACTTGGTTTCGGTAAAAGATAGTCCACAACAATGCCCAACATCCAGTACATGAAAAGTGGGATATTGCAACGGTTCTTTTATGGCATTTATGGAAACGCCACTATAAATTAATGAAACACAATGTTTTGAAAAATGTTGTCTCTGATCTCAGTGAAACGGCGCCGTATTGGGTCAATGTATTGACCGTCCAAACCTTTGTCTTTTTCAACTCAGTCTCTCTCTTTCTTAGTCTTTACCACAACTCAATCATCCTCTCTTCCAAAACCCTCGATTTGAAGCTCTCATTCTCAACCCTCAATTTGAAGTTCTCACTCTCTCTTACTCAATTTCAAACACACATTCTCGCTCCCTTGCTCAATTTCAAACACACACACTCTCATTCTCAACCCTCGATTTGCTTGATTGCAGATTCCAAAACCCTCGATGGTTTGGGCTTCATCAATCTCTGTCGCTCACAATTGAAGTCTCTAGCTATTCTTCATCGATCTCTGTTACTCGAGGGCTTTGCTCTAGCTGTTCTTCATCGAACTCAAACTCGAAGTCGATCTGTTCTTCATCAAATCACAGATCCAAAATCCAAAATCGATCTGTTCTTTATCAAATGACAGATCTAAAATCCAAAATCGATATGTTCTAGCTTAGCTCTCTTGCTCTTATATCAGGTACATTTTTCATTCTCTACTTTCTCATTATCAAATCGTTGATTAACTCTGTAATTTTTCATTCTTTAGTTAAAAAAAAAAAACTAGTTTATATAATTTGTGATGATCTTACTATTCTAGTTCTTTAGATTATTTATGATTTTAGCGTTGCAATATGTTTGTGTTTCATTGTTTACTCGGCGACTTCTCTTCTGAATATTCTGCCAAGATGATTCTCCAAGGATTCCACTATGGATACAATGTTGTATACAATTTCATTCTTCTAACCAGGCTGGTACTGAACTTTTTCATTGCTTTTTTTTTTTTTTTTTGGTCATGTTGTTTGATGTTTTGTAAGGTACACAAATTAAAGTTTTGTACTTGTTTATGGTCTCTAATTGACTTTTGTATATCACTTGTTTGACAAACTATGTTGTTTTGTTAGTCTGGAAATACACTAGAAACTATGGTGTGGTTAAATTGTTGGCAATTTGTTGTCTGTTTTTAGATTTTAATATTTCCAAGATCATTGTTGTAATGTGTATGATGAACACAAAGAATAAATAGTCATCAACGGCTAGATAAGGAAGAAGTTTAATGATCTAGCTAAATTATAGGGTTGTTCATGGAGATAACCCCTTTGCGATGTCCACGAAAGCCTCTGCTTGAATGAATTTGTCTCATTTTATAATTATTATTATTATTATTGTTATTTTTGGGTTTATTCATGCAAAAAATGCCTAATCCGAGTTCATTGGTTTAAGCTCGGGTACGTCTTAGGCATGCCAATTTAGGATAAAGTTTAGGCTTAGGTCAGGCCCAAGTTTGGTTGGTTGCCACGTAATTATTCATTTACACTTGTAATGGTTAGCCTTCTATCATTATAAACCAGTTCCATTACAATATTGTGGGTAAGAATTCTAGTTTGTTTGTAGCTATCCAGTATATGAAGTTGTTTGGTTTGAAAAACATATATATATATATATATATGTTGCATCTTATTGTTTTTAATTTTTTCTAGGGTGATTAATTTTGCTTTCTCAGAACCGCATAAAAGGGTTTCATTGTGTATCTACTGGGTGGCTGTTATATGTGTGTCTGTCCAACGGTTTTACAACATTTCAAAGAATAGTAAGATTGAGAGGATTCTTCTTCGAAAATACTACCATCTGATGGTTGTTTTAATGTTTCTGCCTGCTCTTATCTTCCAGGTGATTTGGGATTCACACAATGATCTTCTCTGTATCCTTTCTTTTTAATTGTTAGTTCTCATAGTAGTTTTTGAAGTTATGTGGACTTCATTTTTGTTTCCAGCCGAAGTTTCTTGATCTGGCATTTGGTGCAGCTTTGGCAGTATTCCTAGTCTTGGAAATTGTTCGATTAAGTTCATTGAATTTGCACGTACTATTGTTCTTGACTTTTTCTTTGCTATATACTAGAAAAATGACGGTGCTAAAAGTCATTGCCTTTGCTCATGTTTAATATTCTTGGGTTCAAATGTCAACACTGCAGTCTGCAGAACTTATTTCATATGAAATTAAAGTATTTATGCATTGTAAGAAAATAAAATAAATAGAAGGGGAAAGTGTGGGCAAATTTTGTGGAACATTGGAAATTTTTAAACTTCAAGAGCACTTTGTAATTTTACATGTTTACTTTTCATATGGTATATCAAATGCTTGTTTGAAACTATTGAAAATGATATCCAGGAGATAATTAACAAGCTAACCATGCTTACATGGATATTGGGGGATATATTGCAAATCTTGCAGAAAATAAATGAAAATGCTTTCAGATATTGTGACTTGTAAATTGTCTATCATGACACAAGATTCATTGTTTTTGTTTATTTTTGATTCATTGCTTTTATAGAAATCCAAATTATGGGGGATATCATTTCATCATCCATCCAGAAGTTAATCTAAAAAGTTTATCCCAACTTGTTTTGACAGATTTATGAAAGCAATTTTGTATTTATCTCCCCAAAGTGACTCATTGCAACACTCTAGTTGTTCTTATTGAAAGCTGGGTCTTAGTTCGTTTAGATGCTTAAACACATTATAATGGTTTTGGTAAAGCTTGCATAACCATAACTTTGGTAGACAGGTATGGAGAATTCAACCTTTAGGGCTATTTGTACATCAGTTTATGAATGCGTTTACAGACCACCATGACTCAGATCTTCTTATTTGATGTGTTTTTCATTTTTCAGCCATTTTTCACTCTTATTGGGCTGTGCACTTCCCATCTGGATGTCTTCTAGGTTCAATGATCGACCTCTTGCTGCTTTTACTGGAATTTTGAGCCTTGGAATTGGAGATACAATGGCGTGTTTTCTAGTTTCTATGTACTATTATGTACTATTGAAATGTAGTAACTTGTGTGGAGTCGTATCTTTTTCATTCTTGACATTCCTACATAGTCTTACAATAATTGGCTCTCTTACTGTGAGATCAAACAAGAAATAGCAGCTCTATTGTTTTGCATAGTCCAAAGTTTCTTGACATACAGAAAAATTACTTGATGCAGGGGATACTAGCATTGAGAACTTGACTTACATGTGAATATTTTCATCTAGTTTTGACATTGAAATGTGTTCTTGCATGACAGACTTCATTGAATAATGTTTGAACTGTTTATTCAGAAACCTTTACTCTAGACTGATGATAACCTGTTATAGAGAATTCATAGAAAACACTCTTTTTGTTTTTATCTTGTTGAAAATGAAAATTATGAACAATATTATGTTTATTGGAAGGATTAAGGGCAAATGCTGCTTTTCTTTATCAGTAGACTGAACTCTGTGACCAAATTTTGGCCTAGGGATTTTACAGGATACACGGTGTTTGGGCCTCTTATAGCGACCAACTAATTTTCAGTTCCTCAGGACCTCCACTGCCTAACACGTAGTTCTTGGCTTTTCTCATATATCTCTTGGAGTTATGGACGTAGTGGGTTATTTCATTTGCCTTCACATTGTACTTGTATTTACTTCTTATGGTGATTGAGCTTGTGGTAATTATTTCATTTTCCTTGACATTGCACTTGTATTCAACACTGTTGCAGTTTAATACAAATGCTGGCGAGTTGATGAAGAAATTTGTTTTGGCATCAATTGGAAAAAATGGAGAGAGTAGAAGGCTAGAGTTAAAAAATTGGGTATGTGCCATTCGACAATGATGCTGATAGGTTAACTCATCGACCCGAAAGAGTACATGAGCATCAATGGTGGAGCTTAGTATATTATTGGGGCACTCGGAAGGCACAGGTATCATTTAATGTTTGTAGTTTAATTGGTGGCTGCTGCTGTTAGAAATTTTTTTGCATGGGTTTATTGAGCTCTATTGTAATCTCATAGGATGAGTTTGTCAATTAATAAATTATCTTGTGTTTATGTTCATATGTAATAGAAAAAATGTACGAAAACAAAAAAATTCGGAAGAAAAAGACATTAAATCACATAACCGGCTGAAAACCATTCTCAGTTGTTCGAGTAGAGGTATATAGTTTCTTTATATTTCAAATTGAAATTGTATATTTTGATTTTGTTATTTAATTTTAATTGTAATTATAGGAAACAAAAAAGAAGAATGGAATTCCTGCAACTCACTTAGAGGTGTGGATGGATGGGTACTCAAAGGATAAAACACCAAATACTGATAAAGTTGCTAAGGTCATGGTATGTAACTTGGTTGCTTCTCTCTTTCTCTCTGGCTTTATATTAACATGCAATTCCTTTTCATCCTTATTAGTTATTTATTTATTCCTTTCATGATAAATGATCATCACAGTTTGAGTTTGTGTTTATGTTCTGGTTCTATTGATAAATAATTGTTTTGATTTTTTTTTTGGTTACAGTCATCTCAAATGGATATTGAAGCTAACATATTTGGCCATATGCTAATTGTGATGCTTAAGTATAATGTTATGAATGTTTATTCATTTGACCATATCTAAGTTGCTAATACATTGTGATCAAGGAATCTTGTCTGCAAATTTTGTAATTGAAAAACATGTTTTTTTTTTTTTTTTTTTTTGTGAATTTGAAAATCATGCTTAGTAAAAGCTTTAATGGAAAAAGTTCAATAATAGTATCAAAATGGTAAAACAAGGAAGTTTAAAGTTCCATACTAGTTAAGAATAGATTTTATCATTCTTTAATTTGGAACAGTATGATTCCTTCTTAAAATAGTTTACTTGTAAAATTGATCGAGAATAGTTTAGTTCTTTTTCTTTCTTTTTATGTTTTTGTAGAATTTTTTTTTTTATATTTTTTTCCATTTTTGATTGATGTATTTGATTTCAATTGCTTTCCAATTCTTAGCCATGAAAGCATGTGTGCTATACATAGCTTTGTATTGACAACAACTATATTTTTAGGCCAAAGAAGAGGAGGAGCTCCCTGAGTACATTTTTGGAACTGTTCGACTAATTCGTGTGAAGCTCGATTCTGCTGTACCTTTTGAAGTTTGAAATATTTTGATACATCAACATGCTTTGATCATCATATTTACACAAGTAATTGGCATTATTGTAACCAAGTACATTCCAATGATTTCCAGATTCTGGTGTGAATTATTGTTCTTATAATTTGGACCAGACATTGAAAATTCAATCATAGATCACCCAACATTGGTTCCAATGAGTATTTATTCAATCTTAGATACTATCTTATCTATTTGGTTTTTGTTTTTCAGCCTTTGGTTTTGTCTTAGATACTATCTTATGAAATGTGCAATTAGTTCAATTATTTGGTTTATACTTTGTTTCCAAAGTTGCAGTATGAACTTTGTAGTGCACAATAACATTTATTTTACAGCAACTATATATAGTCACAGAGAATGCCAACTTTGGTATTTTATTTCATACTCTCGCAGCAGCAGCAGTAGAGAGAATATATATATATATATATATATATTTGATATTTTATTTCAAATTCTTGCACTAGTAGCGGCATAGAGGAAAAAAATGGTATTTTATTTCATATTCTTGCAGCAGCAGCAGTAGCAGCAACACGGGAAAAAAAATGGAAGTGGCATTTTAAAAAAAAAACGTCACTAAATGTTTACAACAACTATATAGTCACAGAAAATGCCAACTTTGGTATTTTATTTCATATTCTTGCAACAGCAGTAGCACAGAGGAAAAAAATGGTATTTTATTTCATATTCTTGCAGCAGCAGCAGTAGCAGCAACACGGGAAAAAAAATGGAAGTGGCATTTTTTAAAAAAAACGTCACTAAATGACGTCATTGTGATGTCACACGTTAATTTGGGAGATAGACGTCAAAGATTTTGCGGCGTTTTTAAAAACGTTGTCTAATAGTTTTAGCGGCGATTTTTAAACGCTATAAAGCTATTGTAGCGGCCATATCAACGACGAAAAAATTTAAACGTCCCTGTAACATTTTGCGGCGTTTTTCAGGCTTTTAGCGGTGTTTTAAAAATGCTGCTAAAACTCGATTTTCCCATAGTGATCGTAAGTATTTCACGCTACTACTACATGCTCGAATTGGTAGTTTTCAAGTTTGAGTAAATCTAACAAGATCTTCATTTTTATTAATAGTGTTGATTGCGGAATTATTGTATGTTATATCATGCGCCAAATCATACGAGATGAGCCTATTGCAAATTCTATAGAAGATGATGAAATTAACAATTTCCAAGCATCAACAGTGCATCAGTTTTTGAATGATTATCCAAAAGCATGGAGTGAGGAACAATTCAACCTCAAAAGAAAAATAGCCAAAAGATAAGACCTTGAATGTAACAACCCTGACCCATGATTAACGTTAATCCATACTTAATTATGCCTAATAAATAATTAAAGCGAATTGTTGCATCGTATGTTGCCTTATATGTGTTTATATCTGTTTAACGTAGAAATATCTGTTCATGTTTTCGTCTCGGTTTGTGAATTGAAGGCCTTATCGACATCCGATTCAGAAATTAACTTGATTTATGTGTTAATAAGAATTTTTAGAATTTTATGGTAGGCTCAATTAAAATTCGATTCAGAACGATTAAATTAGATTAATTAATGTCACTTTGTTAGCTTAAGCCAAATTAATTAATACCACTAAGCAAGCCTATATAAGGCCATTCATACATCTCCAATACATTTTTACATCCTCATTTCCTCATCTTTGAGCTCAATATGTGAGAGAGAGAGAGAGAGAGAGAAGGGAGTTGGATTTCAACTAGAGGATTGAAGAAATTAAGCAAGAATTTACTAGAATTGAAGGATTTAGACTTAGAAACTCAAGAATTAAGCTTCTAGCTCTCATCTTGACAAGCCTAGGTAAGAAATCTAACCCTTAGTTGTGTAATTTGTAAGAATTCAAGTAAAGGAGGTGGACTAACATGAGAATGAGCTAGGATTAAAGAATTGTAACTCAAATCATACATGCATGCGTATATCATGAAGTTTTGAAGTTGTTTTTACAAGAATTCTCACATACATGTTCATATCTTCGTTTTGTTCAAAGAATTCAACTTGTTTTTGAGCTTAGTGACTTATTTGATCATGTTTTAGAAGGTTGGAATTCATGGCATTACAAGCAAGTTATGTGATCTAAGTTTCAAGTTTTGTTTACTACAATTGGCATAGCTTTTAGGCTTGATTTTGCGGAATAATTTGTAATTCATCATGTACTATGAGTTTCTCAACATTTTACTAAGTTTTGGTCCAAAAAGATGTGTTTTAAAAGTTTTGAAATTGAGTTTTGAGCTTGGGAGCAATTCTAGAAATTTTAAAATTTTGCTCCTACACTCGAGCGAAGGAATCCACGCTCGAGCGACCACTCTGAGTGCGTGCACTTTCGCTCGAGTAACCAGAAGTCTGCTTGAGCGTAAAATGCATGCTCCCAGAAGTTCTTGTGCTTTGCGGACTGCTCGAGCGAGCGTAGAGTGAAAAAATCAAGCAACTAGCATTTTTGAAAAAGTTTACAGACCGCTCGAGCGACCACTCACATTTTGCATGTCCGCTCGAGCATAGGAAGTTGCGCTCGAGCGAAGACCCAATTTTCAGCAAGTTTTGTTATGTGTTTTCAAGTGTATTTTTGCATCCTTATTCTATCCTAGGCATACCTAAGCCAAGTTTAAGACACCATAATGAGGATAAAGATGTAGAAACACACCAAAGCAAGAAAGAACCAAGTTAATAATTCCGGGTGTGTAATTTAGTATGTATTCATTCTATATCTGTGTAGGTCACGCGCCACAAGATATCTGAATTGCCTACTCTGTCTGTTTACTTGGAGCCATCTATTATCTGTGAGTAATAACTTAGTAAAGCTATGTTCAAGTTAAATTATTTTATGTATATGGAATAAGATCTGTTCTATGAATGTCATGTTTTATACTATGAATGATTGTCCAACTTTGGCAAATGTTTGTGGTATTTATGCTACGATTCAAGTATGCAATATGTACCCGAACCGGAGGTTCCTTTATGGAACTGACAAGTTACTTATACCCCGGCTGGAGGTTCCTATATGAAACTGACAAGTTATTCGTTCCCAGTCCAAAGGTTCCTTTGTGGAACTTACAAGTTATTCGTACCCGACCGGAGGTTCCTCTATGGAACTGACAAGTATGATCTATGATGCTCTGTATATGATCTATTAGTGCTAATAGATAAACCATGTTAGATCAAGCATGAATTCTGATTTCTGTTAATGACTCAAACAAGAATACGAATATGAATCTATTCTATGTATGGACTTAGTTGTGACGCCCCAAATATTGAGAACATCAGAGAATATATTAACAATTAAATACAAGGTTTATCTAAGGTTACAAGAGTATGAAACATCACTAATGAGTCCTTTGGCTAATAACCAAGCAAGATCCCAGGAAAGATTGGACGAGTCAAACTAGCCTCCCTTCAAAGTCTAATCTTTTTAGATAGCAAAGCTACCATTCTGACAGATCTTAACAAGATATTAACACAAGGTCTACATGAGTCGATGAAACATAAGGGATGGGTAATATAAAAGATATGTATAGATATATAATAGTTACAAAATCAAGTCTTAAATACAACATGGGATCTATCACTTATAATCTCAAAACATGTTTACAAACTAATTTCTAATCCTCCTAGGGTAGCCGTACGTCTCCAAATGCTTTAGCTTTGCCTTCGATCGGTCTAGTAGTCTTCAATACTTAGCATGAAACGCCATGAGCTTTAAATGCCTAGTAAGCATACACACACCCCGTCCTTTTTTCCTAATCCAATACACCATCATATTTATAGCAAGCAAGTAGTGAAGCATGATATTCAAGTCAATAACAGTAATTTCAATAATAGAGGAAAGGACATGTCATTCAAATAGATAACAAAGGTTATAATATTAGTGGTTAGTATTCTAGAAATCCCCCAAAGAGATTTCATCATCCCAACCACAAGAATTAGACACTGGACTATTCGGAACTCCCCATTTTGCTAGTTTGTTGCATAACTAACCTCAGATGCCTACCAACAGTTATATACCACGTAGCGCCAACCGCTGGGCCTCAAAAGAGACAACGAAAAGAATAAAGTTTTATCACTCTGAATCCAACCTTATCCTTCCAAAAAAAATTTTATCCTCTTGAATGTTCCATCCGGACCCAACCTTATCTCACCAATCAAACCATTGTAAAGAGTCTGTAATAACCCTCACCACTGATTACTGACAACCCCACTGATTACTACTAAACTGAGACTGATTATGATAAGTAATTGAATCGATTGAAATACTGAACTGACTAATTGAATGTGCTAGTTTAAATGCATATCTATCTGTTGACTGTTAAACTTATCTGTCCATGTTTTATGTTTTAAATTGCGAATTGAAGGCCTTATCGGCGGCCGAATCTGAAATCGATTGATGATTTAAGATAATTAGAATTAATGTGATTTTATGGTGTATTTATATGAAATGTGATTTGGTATGATTAAATTAGATTGAATTGAGCTAAATTGCAATAGTTGGCTTAATTACCAACATGCCACTTAGTGGACCACTTAGGCAACACATATTTGAGCTTTATTATGCATTCAACAAAACATTTCATCAGCCTCTTTGCTTGTTATTGCTGACTAGAGAGTGAGAGATAGGGAGTTGGAGTGAGTTCATCTTGTATTGCTTGGAAATTGAGAAGATTGAAAGAGTTTGTGATCAATTGAGCTTATATTCTTGAGCTTGAAGATTTAAGGTTGGTGTTTCACCCTCTCATTTGTGTAATTGAGTTGTATCTTGCATAGTCCATGGTTAATGAGTGGTCCAAGTCTAGAATTGGCTTAATGTGTTGAATTGTAGCATAAATCATGCATGCATGCTTATATCCTAGCATTTTGAGGTTGAATACATGGAATTTGGTACATGCATATTCATATTTTTGCATTGGACTGTGAACTCATCTTGGTTTTGAAGGAATTGGCTCATTTGAGCAAGTAATTGAAGCTTTGAATTGGTTTAAACTCATGCATGTCATGTTTGAGTTGTGTTCTTGAGTTTTGGTTTGAAATTGGATTTATTTGAACTACCTTTGGGCTTTGATTTTTACAATTGAGCTTTGAATTATGTTAAACTATGAGTTTTGAAGTGTTTTCCAGGAAATGGGTCCAAAGGGATCGAATTTGATACATTTGAAGTTGAA